TGGCCAATATTTACTTGAAGCCAATTTCTTTATTTTCTCTCCCTGCAGCCATCTCCACTGCCAGTTCCCACAATTCCACTCAATCGCGTCAACCCTTGCAAGACGCCCACGGCAGTAACTCGCTCAGCAAATATGAGCCATCATGTGCAAGATACTGAGCTGGGGACCCTGGGGGAGCTAGACATAAATAACGCAGCACCTGCCTGGGAGGAATTACAGGCAAGCAGAGCACGGGCAAAGCAAGGCAGAGCTTCGTAAGATGAAGTCATGACGTATGGCATGCTGCGGTGATCAATTCTGAATTTCCAGAGAACTGTCAGTAGAGGTTGGAAACTGACGAGGAATCCCCTGCCCCCTGCCACCCCTACACACACACAACCATGAAGAGGTTCCCTAACAGCCCCTCATCAGAGCTAAGAGCACACAGGAACAGAGCCCAACGTCAGACCCACAAATGACACTTTGCTGCCAGCAGAGGTCCATGGAATTTGCTAGAAAGATCAGACCCACTCTCTCTGATGCCCTTGTAGTTTTAATAGTTTCTTTTAGGGACCCATGTATGAGTTCGTCATTCATAAATTTGTTTGAACTGTATTTGAAATCTTCGTTTTCCTGCTAGTTGTGTCTCAGAGGCTATCAGCTGCATCAAATCCTCGACAGGAAGCATCCCTAATTTGCTCATATCCTCTAGGTTCCAAAGGCTTGTATCCCCTTGGTTTTTAGGATTTGGAAACACATTCATTCATTCGTCTTTCATGGATTCAGAATCTTTCAGCCTTCACCTTCCAAAAACACTGGGCTTTGCTATTTAACTCAGGTCCCAGGGCCATAAAGATGGCCACAGTCAGGGCAGCTGTCCCCACTGCCTCCATGAGCTCCGTGGAGAGGCGGAGATTCCCATGGCTTCCCAGGCCCCTCCGTGTAGCTCAACGGAAATGCTGGCGTCTCCTCTGCATACAGCTAATTCTGGAGGAGACTCCAGGCAAGTTTTACTCAAGTTAGCAAAGGGGCTGCTTTCCTTGCAGGAACAGAACCTCCTCTAAAGAAATACCTGCTCCACCAAGAGTCTCACGTTCCCACGATGGATAAAAAGTGGGCTGGTCCTAGAAAAGTAAGGTCCATGCCAACTGGGCTACTCCCATCCGGAAGGGCTGCCGTGCTCTGAGCCCATGCTCATGTTCCTACGAAAAAACAAGTTCAGACTGGCTGTTTCTGGAAACCTATGGGAAAGCAAGTGCAAAGAGGATGCACCGCCCAGGGACCAGAGTTGGAACTGCTACTCAACTCGACCCAGACACACCTAAGCAGAAGGCTCTCCATTTCCCAAGAAGCCCGCCGGGGAAGTGATCAGCAAAGTGATTCAAGTCCTTTCGGGTACACTGTAATGAGCAACCTGGTGAAGAAAATATGGTGGTGTCCCATGAGATTGAGGGAGATGGTCTCGAAAAAATATTTTATAGCTTCTAGATGATGGATAGGCTGGTTCAATCTTCTGGCTATGAACGGATGTTTACAAAGGAATACTCAGATACCCAATGTGAAAGGAAAAACGCTAAGAGTTGTGGAACCTTTGTGGGTGGTTCATTAGGTCAGGTGGTTAGAACTCAGGCTCATAACACCAAGGTTGCTGGCTCAGTTCACACATGGGCTAAGGAGCTGTGTCCCCCACAACTAGATTGAAGACAACTATTTGACTTGGAGCTGATGGGTGCTGGAAAAACACAGTTCCCCAATAAAATTTCTTTAAAAAAAAAAAAAAAAGGAATCTTTGTAAAAACCGTTCTGCATTAATAACTGTTTTTCTTTTCAATAAAGGATCTAGATTCAAAAACATTCATCAGACTAAAACACCTTTAACACTACATAGTGTGTCAAAGAACCAGCCAATTATGAACATAGCTTACCCTTGGACAAAGGTTTGAACTGCGTGGGTCCACTCAAACACATATTTGAAGTGGACCCACGCAGTTCAAACCCATGTTGTTCAAGGGTCAGCTGTACTTTCAATCCACGGTTGGGAATCCACGTATGCATAGGGCTGACTTAACTTGAGGGTGGATTTTCAACTGTGGTGGTAGGTGCCCCTCACCACATGTTGTGAGGTTCAACTGTGTATCTGTTGGACTGGAGTAATGGTCTGGAAAATAAACATTTTATGTCTTAATAATAACAGCTGTTATGATTATTCATGGTTCTCTTTCATATAGAAAACAAAGAGAAAACAGGTCTCCATGTCTTAAAGCAACTTATTTTATTTCCAGCACTCTTACAACCTTTTACATGTAGCACTAACAAAATTCAAACCTCAGCAACTAGACATGAGAGTTCTGCAATTTACTTTAGACAGTCACACAGAAGAACCAAACTATACCAACATGACACTGCGAACCTTATAGAGGACTGAATTGTAGGCAGGTAACTGTATTTGGCTGAAGAACTTGGCACTTTCTGTGATCACAGCTGAAGCTTTTCAATGCAGGTCACACTTGGGCCGAAATCGACGTGATATACTCTGACATAAGCAACAGTAAACTAAAGTCACAAGAATTAACTCAATTTTCAATCACTGTGAAGTTTGTTCCTCTAGTTTAAGTTGACATTTTTCACAGAAAAAAAAAAAGTATTTCGGGCAAATGAAAACAAGTTCCAGATAAGCATGGTTCCGTGTTTTTTAATTTTACCTTCATCAAGGCAGGCAAAGTACAGATGCTGTACATTAAAAACACACACACCACCCCCCCTCACAGCACGTCAGTTCCTACAGGCGGAAGACCTCCTTCCAAGTACTGCTCCTGTCTGAAGCACATAACCACAGTTAAATGTACAGAGAGCCATCCGCTGGTCCCACGTAGCCAACTCCAATTAGCAAGACATCGATCAGCGTCCATATGCCCAGGCCGCCAAAGCTGAAGAGCTTGCCGAGGCCTTCTCGCCACTGGCCCAGGTAGAAACGGTCCGCTCCGAACCCACCAAGCGTGATGCTGCAACAGGAAACAGGGCTGGAATCCACCAGAGGCCCCCCGACCTGCAGCCAGGCGTGGCTCCGCTAAGGCACGTCTGGGAAAGGGTCTCTAATAATCCTAGGCCTTAATTAGAACATAGTGACTATTTCACGTTTCACAACACCAACTGTGAGCTTTCGATTTCGGTCCTCGGTTGGGATCCACATATGTGGAGGGCTGACTTAAGCTACACACAGATTTTCGACTGCGCGGGTGGTCGGCACCCCCACCCCAGCATTGGTCAAGGGTCAACTGTAATGACCGGCAAGAAGATTGTTAAAATGTCAAAAGTAAACACACAATATTTAGCTATACTGAAATCTGATGTTTCTCTTTTAAAGAAAAGTAATTGACCTCACTGCATTTTAATCTTGAAAGTGGCACGTCCCCGAGAACACAGCAGGGACCCCGACTAACAGAGAGCACGGGCGTGGAGTCAGGGGTTGGCATCGCGAGGCAGGCCCTACCCTCTGGCTGCCCAGGTTGAGCTGTCTCACTTTGTCAATCACTCATCTCTACACATTTAGTGTCAGGAAGAAATGACTTTGAAGGGTCCTTCAAATGCTAAGATCTAACACTATTTGGACAACTTCTAATTTGATTTCTTTTAAATTTATTATGGAAAATCTCAGAACACAGAAAAATAAACAGTAAAGAGAACAGTGCCCATGGTCCAGCTCTGACCATTATCAACGTGTGGCCAACGCTGGCTCAACTCTATCCCCCACCCTTGAGAATTCTGAGGCAAACCCTGGACATTATAACATTCACAGTGAAGATTCTGAAAGAAACTAAGTCAAATCCTGAGAGGAAAACGATTCTTACTTTTGAAAAGCCAGCTGTTAAATGTACCACGATAATTTAAGGTATCAAAGCAACGTGGGGGAAACTGGGTGAGGGATGGATAGGAACACTGCATCTTTGCAACTTTTCTGTAAATCTAAAATTATTCCAAAATTAAAAATTTAAAACAAAAAACAAAATTAAGTTTTCCGTTTAAATCGTTGCTGACAAGGACTGTGGCCAGTTATCAAATCTCCTTTTTGTTGTATGTAACCTTCCATCCTGGACTCCCCTTACTTTCCAGTTACGCCTTCCGGCAGGCAGCACCCTTCTTTCCTCAGCCCGAGCCCCAATGCGGTGGTTCTCGACAAGGGGCAGTTTGGCAATATCTGGGCACATTTCTGACTGACACAGCTTGCGGGCAAGGAGGGTACTACTGACATGTAGTGAGTTCACAGAGCTGCTAAAGGCCCTACTATGCACAGGACGCCCCCACAACAAAGAATTATTTGGCCCCAATGTCAACAGTGATGGGGCTGAAGCCCACCCCACCCCAACCCCGCCCCCGTGTCACACCGCCACAGGCCACCGGGTCGCAGGCTCTAACCCTGAACCTTCAACTGTAGCTGGGGCACAGTTTTCATTCCTCAATCTTTTAACCAGCATCCCACCTGCCCTCTGGTGGGAAGAACTGGTAATTTTTTTTTCAACCAGTTGAAAAGTTTAACAAATACAAACCTATTTTTATGTAAAAATTGTAAGTCTTTAATTATTTCTGGATGGTGGAATTATAGGTGATTTTTAACGTTTTCTTTGTCATTTTCACCTTCTCCACAGTTTTTAGCATTGAGCATGTATTTTTTCTATAATACACAAGTTACTAAAAATTAAAAATATACACAATAAACCTACCTATTTTAAATAGTGTACAGCATTTTACCGATTCACAGTACATTTAGAGCGGGAAACCCTGACTGGTTCTGATGATCAGTTAAGTCATCTCGAGACTGTGCAGGCATCCTGGGAGAAATGCTAACATCCTGCCATTAAATTCCATGAAGGTACTGGTCTGGTCTAAGGAACTCGCCTAGGGTCTGTCTGACACCTGCTGGGAGCCGAGTGAAGGGGGAGCCTGGCTGAGCTCCATGTCTGGAGAGCCCACTGATCCCAAGAGAATCCCAATGGCACCTTTAGCTTATTAGTAACGGAGCTTACCTGAGAGCCAGAGCAGTAGACCACTTATAGCCTCCAGTCCAATTGCAGTACAGCATTTTTGGAAAAGTACGGTTACCTTAGAAAAAAAGGGAAAACACTCTACTTAGAAAAATGGGTATAAAAATACTCTCAAACAGAGACTTAACCTTAACAACTGCCTTGTAATTTAAAATCTAAGAAGTCGACTCTCCTTACAATAAGGTTTACTACGGCGAATGGTAAAAAGAAAGACTCTACCATCTATAAGCACAGACTTAATATTTAAATCGGTCATTGAGGGTTACAGTTTGAAGAAATGTGAAATGCCCTACCAGCGATCAAGGCTTAGGTAAAGTGAAGAGTGGGTAACACGGGGTGCTACTGAGACAGAAAGATGGGGTAATGGGAGGAGAGAGCCCAGAACACGCACACATGAACCTTTTCACGGGGCGTAGGGCACATGGATTAGCCCGGAAGTGTCCCCAGACAACTAGATATCCACATGAGGAAAAAGCGAGCCTGAATCTACCTCACACCATGTACCAAAACCCACCACAGGGGCCGGCCGAGTGGCGCGTTGGTTAAGAGTTGGCTTGTGAGTGCCAGCTCTGAGCAGCAGGGCCCCGGTTCGGATCCCACATGAGGGCCAGTGACACTGCACCCTCTACAGCTAAGATGGTGAACAACAGCTCCACCTGGAGCTGCGCTTCCGTGAGTCGCCGGCGACGGCATAGGCTGCAGTGGGCTGCCGTAAACTACCATGAGAGGCCGGCAGTGTGAGCTGCCATGAGCACCGTGAGCGGCTGTCCAATGGCCAGCGAGCGACTGCCTGAGCTGGGAAGAGTGCAATGATAATACCAACATGGGCATGTGAAGCAACGTCCTCCACAACTAGACTGAAGAACAAAAGGACAGCAACTTAGCTGTTCCCCTTCCCTGATTCCCCAATGCTGTTCCCTCCCCCAATTTCCCCAATAAAATCTTAAAAAAAAAAACAAAAAAAACCACAGGCGGGTTAGAGGCCTAAATGCGAAATGCCAAACTTATAACCCTTCAAAGAAAACCTAAGAAATTATCTTTATGCACCTGGAGTAAAAACAGAGTTTATTATCACAAAAAAGAGCTCCCTTTGAAAGACTAATAATGTCAACTAATTCGAATTTAAAGTTCTGTTCATTGAAAGACACCAAAACGAAGTGGAAAAAAAATAAAAGGTAAAAACCTGAGAGAGGATTTTAGGGACAAAGGTTAATATCCAAAATAACAAAGCGTTCCTAGAAACCTTTAGGAAAAAGATGAAACTTCGGGATAAAAAGTATGGAGAGGGTTTGGCTCACCAGGAACAGTCATGGCCCACTGGTGGGACGTAAACGGGTGAAACCACTTTGGAAAATAACAAGTGCCAGAGAGTGTGCCAGACAAACTCCTGCCCATATGCAGCCGGAAGGTGTGCACGCAGCTTTACTGGCAGCACAATCCATAAGCAAAAAGTATAAATAATCCAAATGCATAGGAGAATGAATAAACTACGACACAATCTTACAACTGATTATTACTCAGAAGTAAAAGAAAAAAGTTAAGAAAGGGAAGGCACACCAATGAATCTTAGAGCCATAATGGGGAGAGGAAAAAAAGGCCATAGATTGGCTGCTCTTATTTTACACTCTTCTAAAACATGCCCCGCTGTATATCATACTTTATCTAATTACACAAATGTGATAGGACAAAATAATTTAAAGAAAAGAAAGTGGGATAAGAAAACTCAAAAGGAGGATTACCTGTGAAGGGGGGGGGGCAACTGGGTGCAAGAAACGCACTCAGGTAGCTGTGATGACATCATCACTGCGTTAGCTGGGAATTTGGTAAAACTGAATTACTATGCATTATGCTTTATACCCCACGTGTGTGTTGTTTTACCAAATACTACATTTTAAAAGATAAGAGCGCTGCAAGTTTTCTGGACATTTTAAGTTCACCGAGTTTATTAATGGACTTGGCATAACTGAACAGTGCTGATAAATGCTTCTGATGAAATAATCTCAATTTAATCCTCAAACGTCTGATGGAAGTTCTGTAAGCAAGCTCAGAGGAAACTGGATTGCTTCCCAATCTCCCCAAACTCCACTTACCCAAGCAATGAACGTGGTCCCGCACTGTGCAGTTGGCAGTGTACCGCTGCCGAGGACACGACACCGCCATGCAGCTCGTGGAATTGGAGCACTCATAATCGGTTTCCGGAAGCTGCCAGCAAAATCTGCAAGTCATGTTGATGACAAAGCTCTTTTGATATTTCAAGTCTTGATCCTATGTACCAAATGACACAGAACGTATCAATCGCAATCCAGTAGCTTGTGACTTTTGTCTGCAAAACTACAGTCATATGGCCCCAAAGTTTCTAAATGGGATCTGGCAGGAAGTGGCAAGAAAACAGGTACCAAACCAGTATGTATGCAAAACAAATGTAAGTGGTATGATCCCATAATCATAAAAATAGACACCCAAAAATATATACCTAAGGAAAAAAAATCTACATAAATTCGCATCAAAATAACTAAGGTTATTTCACGATGGTTATGATTATCTCATCAGTTTTACCTGGCTAAACTTTGTACAAAACAAGGGAAATTTTATTCTACTAAGTCAGGGTCACAGATAGATGGAAGGACAGACAGGTACATCTGTTAAAGGTCACTGAGCTGCAAGTTATGAGTGGAATCCAGGGTCCCTATCCCAGATGGATGCTCCCGGGTGTACCATACACACCTGGTTCCCAGTTTCACACCTCCCCTCGTATCTCCAGCAGTCCAGCATTGGGGCTGTCACCCACCGCCACATGCACTTGGTACCATCCACCCATAGGCAGCCCCAGAAAATCACTCTCCACTTAGAGAAGAACCTCATGCAGACTCAGCAGGAGCTCCCTGCTGGCCCTTAGCTTTCCAGACCAGATGTTTTCCTTTCAATTTCAAAAGTCATTATTGGGCCGGCCGAGTGGCGCGCTGGTTAAGAGCTGGCTTGGGACACCAGCTCTGAGCAGCAGGGCCCCGGTTTGGATCCCACATGAGGGCCAGTGACACTGCCCTCTACAGCTGAGATGGTGAACAACAGCTCGACCTGGAGCTGGGCTGCCGTGCGTCGCCAGGGACAGCGTAGGCTGCAGCCCCTGATGCAGTGGGCTGCCATGAGCTACCGTAAATGGCTGGGAGCCAGCGTGAGTGGCCAGCAGCCAGCGTGAGCTGCCAAGAGCCGCCGTGAGCGGCTGTCCAGAGGCTGGCGACGGATCTGCCTCACCCGGGAAGAGCACAATGATCACAATACCAATATGGGCCAGTGAAACAACGTCCTCCACAACTAGACTGAAGAACAAAAGGACAGCAACTTGTCTGTTCCCCTCCCCCAATTCCCCAATAAAATCTTTATAAAAAAGTCATTATTTTGTTTTCTGCTTATAAGAGTAGCATGCGTTCTTTGTAAGCAGCACATTTGGAAATTACAGGGAAAAAAACTTGTAACCTCTCCAGCCAGACCCACTTTTAATCTTTCATTTTTCTTCCATAATAGTTTGACAGAAGCAGAATTCTACTGAAAGCATTTTGTATACTTTTTACCCCACTTGACATTATACTGTAATACCTATTTTTCAAAATCATTTTGAAATGGTCACACAATCACCTCTGGAAGTTATCATATTGATTTTTTTCAAAATGTAAAACTGCTTTTATAGATCGCAATCAAAACTGGGTAAGGAACCGCGTGATTTAGGCAATCAGTACTGTTTTAAACGCCTACTAATTTCTAGTGATGTATTTATAACACATTTCTTATCAACTGTGTTTTAAAACTAGGCAATACATGTCTGGTACAAACTCCCAGACAAGACAGGAGAGTGAGCAGGAAGCTGTCCTTCACCGCTCTTCCCCCCACCCCCAGCACTGCTTACCCATTGGCCTTCAAGGAAGTCTATTCTATGCCCCGATACTTTTCTTTTTTTAACTTTCCCACTGATATTTACTTTTTACTTAATTCTGCAGGTATCAGTAACTACCTCTAAAGCTGCCTAGTTCTTTTCAATAGCTGCAGTGTATTTATTTCATTACATTACAGAGTGAACCATAAATGAAACAGTTCTCTTGGACATTTAGCATGTTTCAAATCTCTTGCCTGGGTGAACAGTGCAGCTAAGGATATCCTCAGGCGCATTATTTGCATCCATCTGCGATATTCATATGATAAATTCCCAGATAGGGAATTGCTGGGTCAAAGGTTATGTGCATCTATCAGGTTCACAGATATGACCAATGTGCCCACCCACTAACAAGATATGAGTGGCGCTTACACACTCACAAACTCAGTGTTACCACTTTTTAATTTTTTTGCCAATTTAATAGGTTAAAAACACATTGTGTATGTCTTTATGAGAAAAATTAAACATTGTTTTTCATGTGTTCAATGTACATTTGTATTTCCTTTCCTGTGAACCATCTGCTCATGTCCTAATAGTATTTTTTTATAGGCTTGTCATCTTTTATTAATTGGCTTTTAGGAAATCTTTATATATTATGGATATCGGTGCATTATTTGTAACGTGTGTTAGACATGCTTTTTCTTAGTTTGTAATTTATCTTTTGCCTTTATCCTTTTTCATGTCATGCAGAATTCTCCAATTTTTAGTAGTCAAATATCTCAATTCTTCCTTTTATGGCTTCTAAATTTTATTTTATGCTTAGAAAAATATTCCCTAAGTTGATATTATAACAAAACCATCTCATGGTTGCTTGGCTACTTTGTTTCATTTTTCCACATTAAATCTTTGACCTATCTGGAATTTATTTTGAACAAGACAGGGATCCTACTTTTTTTCCAGCTAGCTACCCCAAGCATGTCAGCATTTACTGAATCCGTCTTCTCACCAGACAGAAGTACAGACCCTTTCAAAAGCTAACCTATGAGAAAAAGACCTGTTACCTTTCCCTCTGTGAAACAGCTGTTGTTACTAAGAACACAGACCATGTGATGGCTTTATGTATACACGCTACATACACTAGCAGGCAGATAGGTAAGTTCTCCAAGTAACACACAGCAACATTTCTGTCAAGCACATTTCCAGCTGACATCATCTGGCTTGACAGCTGCCATTACAATTGCCACAAGAGCAATCTGATATGGAAGGTGTTGCAAGATTTTTCCATTTATTTCTACCTATATACTTAACAGGACCTGATAAAATAATTCCCTTGACTAGTGTAATCCAGGTGAGAGTTCCTTAGCCTCTAGGTCCCTAGTCAGTATGCATGAAAAAGGACTGGAAGAGTTTCTTTCTTCCCATGATTTGAAGTTCAAAATAAAAGCGGCAGAGAGAGGACATCTGCATGTGCCCATGTGATGGTCATGGATTATTTCTTCCTGAAATGTTAACGTGTTTACCAAGAAGGGACCCTACAGATCATCATTCAACAAATAAGGAAAGAACACGTGGCTCACCGTGGGTCACCTAGCAACAGCAGTCCTAGGACTCACAGCTGCTAAAAGCCAATTCACATATTTTACTGTTTCTATTTTTAAGAAGGATCAGACCACCAGACCCCCTTGGGGCAGACTTCCAATTCCACACCTGAGCACTGGGCACCTGCTATTTCATATGATTCCATTATGGCTTGTACCGGAAGCAGGTGAGATTCAAGTGTCTGGAGCAGGAGGAGGCACATCGCAGCCAGGGCATGAGGACTACACCAGAAACCGTGACCAAGGAGTTCAGAAACTTCCCTAAGCTTGCAGTTGCTCTACCTTTGTTATTTGTCTTATCCTCTGCTATTTTCCTCTAAATGAAACAGCTAGGTTTTGGAACACCTAAAGAAGGAAGAAATTGAGAACTATGTTTGGGAAGATGAATGTCAAAGAAGCTGAAGCAAACAACAGGGGAGGCGAATTCTGGAAAAGTTCCCCTTAGACAGCAAAGTTTTTCCATGTTCACTAAGTACCTACGATGCGCCAGACCCATGAGATACATCATTTGAAAAGCCTTCAAATGGGGTTAGCCATTAGGTAAGTAGAGAGGAAATTCTATTTAAGACACAGCAACAAAGACTGATTGCTAATTCAAGGGCATTCGTGAAGACTATCTGGCCATTAGCTCGATTTCCAGTATGCTTTAAAGGGTAATTCAAAGGATAACGCCAACATATAAAAATGGCAAATACTTAAGTTTACAAGAACTACGTTCAGAAACAGCATAAAATCTTTGGGGTGAGGCCTCCCTCATTCCCTCTCAGGGGAATTACAGAAAGAGCCTGAGGTGGAAGGAACATTACAATCCATCCCTTCGCAGACCAAGTTCCAAAGAATGCAGTAGGGGAAAAGGGACATTGCTCAAGTAAGTGAAGAAAATGCTAGAGTCGCTGGTCCAAGGAAATCTACAAAAGAGGACATGGTATAGAATCTGTTTTTCCTTCCTCAACCATTTCCCAGAATGAGGGTTCCATGGAAACACTTTGGGAAAAGCTGTTCTGGGCCCATCCCCTCATTTAATGAGACAGAGATTAATAAATCACATGGCTAGTTACAGAGGCCAAGAGTGAAACACTGCTTCATTATTCATCTCGACTCTTTATCTCGCCCAGATGCTAGAATTGCATTCCTAAACGGAGTGTGCAGTGATTACCTGGTCCACTCGTTAAAAAATACAGGTACCCGGGGCCGGCCGAGTGGCGCGATGGTTGAGAACTGGCTTGGGACGCCAGAGGGCCCCGGTTCGGATCCCACATATGAGAGCAAGTGACACTGCCCTCTACAGCTAAGATGCTGAACAACAGCTCAACCTGGAGCTGGGCTGCCGTGAGTCGCCGGTGACGGCATAGGCTGCAGCCCCTGTGGCAGTGGGTTGCCATGGGCTACCGTGTGTAGCCAGCAGCCAGCGTGAGCGGCCAGCAGCCGCAGTGAGCGGCTGTCCAGAAGCTGGCGACCGATCTGCCTTACCCGGGAAGAGCACAATGATAATACCAACATGGGCCAGTGAAGCAACGTCCTCCACAACTAAACTGAAGAACAAAAGGACAGCAACTTGTCTGTTCCCCTTCCCCCAATTCCCCAGCACTGTTCCCACCCCCCAATTCCCCAATAAAAATCTTAAAAAAAAAAAAATACAGGTACCTGCGTCTGCCTGGCCTACTCTCCATTTAGCAGGTCTGGGGCTGCCTGTAGGAATCTGTGATTCTAACAGGAGCCCCAGTCAAATAGCTCTGAAGCAGCTATGCCTAGAGCAATCTCTAAAAAATACCAACTAATGAAAGCCTTTCTAGGCTCCTTCCTGTCTGTCAAAATATCAGAGATAAGATGTAGGTTTGATGATTGTAACAGGGTCATTTCTAATGCTCAACAGTTGGTACGTTTGAGCTTTTTCTATTGCCAGCTTTCTGTAAGAAGTCTGATAATTACTTCAATTTATCCTTATGTCAAAAAATTGCCATCTGAGGGGCAGCTGGTTAGTTCAGTTGGTTAGAGTGCAGTGCTCATAACACCAAAGTTGCCAGTTTGATCCCCACATGGGCCACGGAGCTGCGCCCTCCACAACTAGACTGAAAAAACTATTTGACTTGGAGCTGATGGGTCTTGGAAAAACACACTTCCCCAACAAAAAAAATTAAAAAGCTTGAAAAAAAAACTGCCATCTGAACCTCTGCAATCAAACCTCACTTGAACATGGAAGCTTTAGTCTTCTGAAAGAGTTGACTTTACTCCTAAAATACTACTTATACAATGCAGAGCCCTTCCTTTCAGAATTCCCCCTTGGTTGAGTCTAAAGTCTATTTGTAACTCCAGGTTTCCAATGATGTATTTAGAATAAGTAAGTTGCAGTACTTACAACACAGGTAATGGAAGGTTTGACTGTGCAGTCAAAAGTGGCAGGCTTCCCATAGACACAGGAGAAATTTGTCTTGCATTCTACACAGTCTGCAGGGAGTCTGCTACACAAACCATTGCTTGGGCACTTCATCACATAAGGTGGGATATCGGTACTTTCTGTGAGAGGCGAGAGAGAGGCTTATTCTCTTAGAATACTGATGAGGAAAGCAATATTCTAAAGTTAAGGGTCATGAGCATTAGCAATGAGACACTAGGCTGGAATGGCAAAAGCAGAGATGAAGTCAGAGACGCCTGCAATTAAAGCAGGGTTCTGCCACCAGCCAGCTGTGTGACCTGACAAACAGCTCAACAGTTAAGTAAAAAGTATTTAACTACTATCCCCCAAATGACCATAAAAACCAAAAGTGCATATATATACATATACACACACATATATATATATGTGTGTGTGGCTAGGGGTAATGACCTCAAAAATTCTACCACGTTACAAGATGAAAAAACTAAGACTTAGGAATGGCAGGGTTTGTTTAAGATCACAGAGGGAGTGGCAAAACTGGAAACAGAACCCAAACCTCTCCGTTTCCAATCCAATGTTATTTTCTCTTGAACACTAATTTGGAAATGATGCCACTGACTCTCTGAGTCAGTCAGTACAATGAGGTGACAATTCTAGAAAATGTTGTCATTATTCTAGAGTAGCAGTAAGCCATAATTTGCTAATAACATTTACAGTTTTATACTACGAACGTTCAAAAGCATTCTATGTATTAACAACTTGTTCAGTGGGTTGCAGTTTTTTTTCCCCAGCCAATCTAGCCAGGAGTACAATATATTTCTATCAGTGAAGAGGGGATTAGACAAGCTTTCAAAAATGTCCGAAGAGTAAAAAATCCTTGTGCTCTCTCTATAATGTTTTAAATTCAAGTATGCTGCTGACTTCTAGTAGCCTTTTACATTCAAATTAGAATTAGTAAAATACTTCTGCCAGTTTCAATTCATTGAAATGAGAGCATTCTAAAGGGATGAAATTATAGAGAAAAACATTCCATTTAGCAAACCCACTAATACTCATTTAAAACTGGTCCTACTTCAAAGTTATTGTAGCAGATGGGCGAGTCTACAAAATTCCGTTGGTTCCTATTACTACTGTGGCTGGAGAATGGACAGTCGGAATCACAAAGCTAAAATGACTCTAGAGGGCCAGGCTAACCCCACCACCTTAAAGATGAGGAAACCAAAGCCAAATGGGTGGATAAGTTGTTCAAGCTCCCAGTACCACAACCAGTCTCTCTATCAGTCCCTCTGTGATCCTTCCATTTCACACCGCCTTGGGTTCAAGGAACAGGGTTCATGAGCTAGAAGAAATTTTCTGAAGGGAAAAAAGCATTTGTTGAGGATTATCTTGATGAAGTGGAAAAAATAATAGAAATAAACAGATGGAAAAAAACAGCGTGGGACTATCAAAAGGTATTGAAATATTAAGACTGTCTACAGAAAACGTTTATCTGCCCTCAGTTCGTGTAACCTAAAGTACAACAAATAAAAATAAAATATTCAAAAATGTAAAGTGACTTCATATACTAAAAGAAATTTTACCCAAAAAGGAGAGGGAGAACCTGCTAGATATTAAGTATACAAATTTACTAGAATAGAAAACGTCTAGTACCTGCTGCCCTGGGAACTACTGTGAAAGTACGTGTTGGGCCCGGATCCCTTATTGACTGAGCCAGCGGCTGCGAATGCTCTAAATTTAAGGATCCTACAATTAAAAAAACATGTTATCCTGGGATATAGAAACCTTGGTTGTGTGGCTAACAAGCAGAGTCCACGACACACAATAATTGCTCGTGAAAACCTCACAGCTTGACTGCCCAAAAAACTAAAGAATGCAACGCCAACAGGGTCGACACCCGTCCCCCGGCCCTCGGTCCCCCGCTCCAGGACTCCGCGGCCGAACCTGCGGCTCCAGTGTCCGCGAGAGGAGCGGAGGCAGCGGACCGGAGGCCAGCGACGCGCCAGGATTGAGCCGCAGCGCTCCGCCCCCCTCCGCCCTGCCCTCAGCCTCCATCCTCAGCCTCCACCCTCCGCCCTCCCCCAGCGGGCTCAGCCCGGACCCTTCTGACGGGTTGCGGTGCCCCCGACCACCCAGCCAGACCCGGCATGGCCCACGGACTTTAACTCACCACCGCCCGACAAGACGTAGAATTGTGACAGGAAGAGCAGCACGCGGCAGAAGCGGCACAGTTCCCTCAGCGGGCCAGCCGCAGCCGCCATCTTCCCGGCGCGCACGCACTTCCGGGCCGCCGCCTAGAGCTCAGCCGAGGGGTGGGGCGCCTGCGCGCGCGCGCCAGAGGAGGCGGGGTCGGCGCATTACCGGGAGCCCAGGGCGCAGGCGCGTGGCCAGCTCTGGGTGCGTTCTGCCCCGCCGGACCGGACCGGAAGTCCCCCGGGAATTGGGGTGGCCGGGACCACTGCGACGTTGAGAGGTTGCTTGGTTCCCAAACACCGCTCATACCGTACGANTTAGGAAAAAACACAGAGGGTGCCAAAAAATGTATACATGTTTTAAGAAAGGAAAAAACTGTGTTAAAATTGTAATACTCAATATATACCAATAACAAAAGATGAATACAAGTCACGTGTATACATATTTTTGGTACCCCTGGTATTTGCAAATCACGTATCCATCAAAGGGCTTATATCTAGAATATATAAACAACTCTCAAAACTCAACAGTGACAGATAATGAGGACATCAGTACTACATTATTTATCCTGTTCAGTCACTCACCTAACATATGTAAGATTAAATCTAACAGGCAGTTGGAAATCCAGCTGGATCGTAGCGCACTGGTGGTATCTGCCAATAGCATCCTTTATTTTTATATCAATCTGTAAATTAAATGATGTTTGTTTAACCACAGTTTTGACTTTTCTTTTAAATTTTACTCTTTGTAAATCATATGGTCTACTTACTTTAGGACCATAAAATGCTCCATCTCCTGCATTCATCTTCCATGGTTTTCCAAATTCCATCAAGCTATTCTGCAGTTGCTGTGTTTTTTAAAGACGAGAACATTTCAAACGTCTACTGCATTGAACATTTGATTTTGTCATTAGCTCAAAACAGTAAGTTTTCCTAACTCTTAGTTATATTTTGTTTTAGTTCAATATATATTTATTGTACATCTTTTACAGTCAATAAACCACTGAGCAAGAACAATTGGGTTGTCGGAAAAGTCATGACGCATTTTTGCAACGAAAAACACAGAAAAAATACGTCATGACTTTTCCAACACGCAATACATAAAGATGATCAAGATGGCACTTGCTCTCAAGAAACACACGCTTTTTAATTGGGGAAGAAAGATAATCCACTGAATTGTTCCAGTGAATCCCAGGTAAGCGCTTGTGGGAGCGGGGATGCTTCAGCCCTGGTGCCAGCGCAGGTCCCTGTGCCCTGCCCATGTCGCAGCTTCGATCTCCTGGTGCGAGTTCCAAGCTCAGCTTCCCTTCTGCTCAGGCCCAGAGAAGGCCACCCTGCAGGCTCACTTCATAGGCTGGGAGGCCACTCTCCTCCCTTCACTCATTTCTGAAAGAACAGACACTGGTATGTGTTCGCAGGGAAGTGAGGCCCTGCAGGTATCTAAGGGATGGAAAGAATCTGGGGGGCTCCCAGGGAATTAAAAAGCCAAACAGAGCTCAGGTGTGGGGGGAGAGCAGGCAGCAGAAGTCACTCACTGCTCCTCTCTGGTCTTTGGGGACACGGGGATAGGAAGGCCCAATAGGAGCAGCCAAGACTCAGAGAACTCTCCTGTACAGAGGCATGGGTGGATGTGAACGTGTAAGGGGAGCTGACCATGGGCCCGCCCGGGCCCCTGTGAAGGAGAAATCAAGATCTCCTTTGTCGGGCCGGCCGAGTGGCTCAGTTTGTTAAGAGTTGGCTTAAGAGTGCGAGCTCNAAAGTGACTTCATATACTAAAAGAAATTTTACCCAAAAAGGAGAGGGAGAACCTGCTAGATATTAAGTATACAAATTTACTAGAATAGAAAACGTCTAGTACCTGCTGCCCTGGGAACTACTGTGAAAGTACGTGTTGGGCCCGGATCCCTTATTGACTGAGCCAGCGGCTGCGAATGCTCTAAATTTAAGGATCCTACAATTAAAAAAACATGTTATCCTGGGATATAGAAACCTTGGTTGTGTGGCTAACAAGCAGAGTCCACGACACACAATAATTGCTCGTGAAAACCTCACAGCTTGACTGCCCAAAAAACTAAAGAATGCAACGCCAACAGAGTCGACACCCGTCCCCCGGCCCTCGGTCCCCCGCTCCAGGACTCCGCGGCCGAACCTGCGGCTCCAGTGTCCGCGAGAGGAGCGGAGGCAGCGGACCAGAGGCCAGCGACGCGCCAGGATTGAGCCGCAGCGCTCCGCCCCCCTCCGCCCTGCCCTCAGCCTCCATCCTCAGCCTCCACCCTCCGCCCTCCCCCAGCGGGCTCAGCCCGGACCCTTCTGACGGGTTGCGGTGCCCCCGACCACCCAGCCAGACCCGGCATGGCCCACGGACTTTAACTCACCACCGCCCGACAAGACGTAGAATTGTGACAGGAAGAGCAGCACGCGGCAGAAGCGGCACAGTTCCCTCAGCGGGCCAGCCGCAGCCGCCATCTTCCCGGCGCGCACGCACTTCCGGGCCGCCGCCTAGAGCTCAGCCGAGGGGTGGGGCGCCTGCGCGCGCGCGCCAGAGGAGGCGGGGTCGGCGCATTACCGGGAGCCCAGGGCGCAGGCGCGTGGCCAGCTCTGGGTGCGTTCTGCCCCGCCGGACCGGACCGGAAGTCCCCCGGGAATTGGGGTGGCCGGGACCACTGCGACGTTGAGAGGTTGCTTGGTTCCCAAACACCGCTCATACCGTACGACGCGGCGCTCACCTCTCCTTCCACGGCTAGAGACCGAGGAAGGTCACGGGGACCGAAATGCACACCTGAAGTGACTGGAAGCAGAGTAGGGCGAATTTGGGAAGTTGGTCACCTTTTATATGTGGCTGGCTATGTTTATAGAGGAAAACCGCTACTATGTGCTAGGTACTGTGCAAAGGTTTTGATGACATTACATTTGATTTCACACTAGCAAGGTACTTGTTTACAGGTGAAGAAACTGGCCCAAACTGTGTGGGAAGCGACTCCCAGGTGTGTCAGGTGGAGCCGCGATCCCAGGCCTGGCCCGGTCAGTGCCCGGCTAGCATCTCTCCGCAGGCTGCCCTGGGTGCCACCACTCGCCAGCGCCATTACGGCACGCGTTACTTCCAGGAAATTCCTCCAAGACTGGGAGGGGCTGGACATAGCCAGCAAGTCTTCGGGCTCCAGGCACTGGGATGAGAGCGCTGGATGTGAAGGGAGGGTCTAAAGCTGGGCCCCTCCCCGGAGAAGGCCAGCCGTGGGGAGACGCACCCCAGGCCACCAGGCTCCCTGCGAGCTCCTAGGGCAATCAGCACCTATCTCTGCCGCAGCAGACCCTGTCCTGGCTGTTGACATGCTTCCCTCTCCCCACCCGTCACAAGATCATTGTGGGGGGATCTTCTGACTCCCCACTCCCTCACTAGCACGTTTGGTGAATGAAAAAAATATATAGCAGATGGTACCTCATTAAATAATAGCTTAAAAATTACATCACACAATTCTGATATATAATACTGTTTTGTTTACCAACTTCAGGAAACTAAGTGTGTTGAGAGCATGTGTTAAATTTATTTTGAATTCCACAGCACCTAGCCATATAAGCACTCGAAAAATACTTCTTGATTGATAGCTAAATTCTATTGGCATAAAGCCATTGTAATTCTGTTCTGAGCGGTAAAGTATTCCTCTTTGTTAAAATCTGAAATCCATTTGAATATATATAAATCAGGGGAATGTCATCCCACCAAAAATGTAATTTAACTTTAGGGGAACAGATTATTGTGATGTAAACCCATAGCTGAAACACTGGAAACACTGTGATGCATTTTATTTTGAAATTTATTTTTTTCTAAAGATGAACAAAGCTCAATTGTCAATTAAAAGCATTAATATATAATTGCAACTCTTAACCTATGATGCAAACAGTAGGTTGCACAATATTAAATTTGAGTTCAGAGTCCTTTGTCAATAACCCAATATTTAGTATTAGCTTCTCTTGTGGTTGTTGGTTAGTTAAATAAAGTAATGATTCCAGTTTTGAACATAAAGTTTCAGTGTGAAGTTTAGTAAAACCATAAAAACAACTGAGAACATGTTATTAGAAAATAAGATTTTCTGCCATATTCCAAAAAGCTTTGCAGACTTATATTTGAAACTTGTCTTTTCAAAATTACAAATCTTAACAGTAATATCTCATTGTCCTTGTTTCCTGGTATTTCCCTCTTTCAATGAATAACATTTTCCCCTTTAAGTCTCTCAAGACAGCCTCACGAACTTCAAATGAGAGCATAAAAATTTACTATACCAAGATGATGCAGGAGTTGAAAGAAAAGATCAGCAGAGAACTACAAAAAGACGCTGCTTCTGAATTTAAATCTGAATCCTATCAAACATTTCCTCCAGAATCTACTGATGATCTACTTCAGAAGGCACAAGAATATGTCGACATTTTGAATAAAAAGTATGCTAAAATAGTATAATTGTTTCCTATACTGTTTATGTAACATTTTGATTGTATCCCGTGAAACATATGGCATGTAAAATCCTTATTAAAGGAAAATATTTTTGTAAAAAAAAAATAAAAAAGTCTTTCAAGACATTTGGAAAATTAAGCTTCCCAAGCTTGTCCTCTTCTTGTCCTCAAGACCTACTAGTGAGTTAAACTGTACATATCAGCTACTCATTCATTGTCTCATTTCTCTCTGCATCATCAGGGGACCTGTCAGTGGGTCCAAAGTTCTCAGAAGTATTAACATTAATTAAGAAAAATGCATTTTCAGGGGTCAAAACAAGGTTACCTAGAAGGGCCTACAAGGAAGGACTTTAAAACTCTTCTTCAGCATTTGGTGTTCGTGATATCTTGAGATTCTTCAATTTATCAATAGCAGAAGTTACTGAAATCGCTCCATGAATTTTGTTGTCTCTTGTTCGAACATTTACAGCATGATTTGTTTTTTCATTCTCTCCAACCACTGTAGAAAGGGAAATTTTAAATCAACGATTTACTAAAATACTAAGTGAAGTGTCACATGACATGTCTTATTGAGTCCTTTAGTATTAATCACTAAATATCAAGCTAATGACCAGTTTCTTGAGGGAAGGAATGACCTCTAATCCCAATTCTCTTGTTCACTTGAGAGAACACCTATCATGTTCTTGGGGTGCAAATGGGAGCATGGAGCTCTTACCCCCAACTCTGCCCCCTGATGTATCAAGGGATGGGCACCAGACCTGTGCCAACCAGTCAACCAGAATTCTCAGGAATGTAGGTAAAAAATTCATTCTTTCTAGTGACCTATACTGTGATGCAGAAACCTGCAGCCATGTTCCCTGCCATGTGGAAAGGAAGAAACTGGTCAGCACGTAAGGGGAATAAAGTAAATGTTCAAGAGAAGCATAAAGAATCAGAGCAAAATGGGGGCCAAAAATGGAAAGAAATAGTCCTGGTAAGGGCTGAGTTCCTTGTTCCAGATACTCTTCTAATGGTTTGGCTATTTAATTCTACCTTCCATGGACACTCCAATAGTCTTCCAATAAACTCTGCCTGAAATTTTTGTCACCACAGGAAGGCTGACTGAAACATCACTGTACCCACAAGAGCCAAAACACTTCTGAGGACAAATGGTTGATGGGACAACTGTGCATATTTATTTTGCCTTCTACAGAATCTCCCAACTTAGAGATAATACCATGCATGTGAGTATATCAACATCAGTTTCTCTTCATTTTCATTTTTTCAAGTCAGAATTTCAGATTCTGCATCTAATTATTTATGTGCCTCAAGGACATTTTCATTTTTTCACTTAATTCTTTTCTCCTGAGCACCTTAAATTTGGGACCTTTTTCACTCATGAATCCTAAAGATTTCTAATCAACCAGAAGAGCAAAGGAGACTATTTTAGATCTGTGACATGGCTGAAACAGAAGGAGTATAATTCTACCGTGAGATGATTTTCACGTTTTTTTCCATTGTTGGTTTAAGATATTAATTCTTGCTAGTATTACTATACCACAGGATTCATGTGCAACTTTATAAGTCTTCTGCCAGCAAATAATGAAGAGAACATAGGAACGGCTTTACCAGGAACACCAGACTCCCCTTGGTGTATAAATATTCAACAGTCAAACTGCTATGGTATAATCAATCAGTTATACCATAGTCTTCATTTTGTCCTTTGGAGTTAAAGTGAAAAAAACAAACATGTGGGAAAATATATACAAATTTAAGTTACCCAAAATAAAATTATACTGAGCCAGCTGCGCATTTCGTATTTTCTTATTCAGTGTGCAACTATGATCTAAATCAACGTCGGTCATGAATCCTTCTTCAAAAAATTCACTGGATACCTACAAGAAAAAGAAATGCGTCATTAGTATATTATGTGGAGCAGCCAGTGTACAAGGCAAACCACAGGTTCCCTGCCTTCTATTAAATAGTATTCACACACTTGCGTTGTTCCCTCCACACTGTACTAGCTTGGTCTGTGTAACCACAGAGAAGGGCGGGAGTGATGGCATGTCACTTCTGACATGAAGTAAAAACCTGCAGCTTCCATCTCTTTCGGATCGCCCCTCTGGGGAAACCCGCTGCCAGACTGGGAGGACATTCAAGCCACCTCTGCGAAGTGTGTGTGATAAGGCCTGGAGGCCTCTGAAGATGTGAGTGCGCCTGAGGGCTGCAGCCCGGGCACTGGCACTCAACTGCAGCCTCCTCAGACACCCTGAGCCGGAACCACCCAGCCAAGCCGCTCCCTGATTCTGACTCACAGAAACTGACATAATAAATGTCTTGTGTTTTAAGATGCTAAGTTTTGGGGTACTTTGTGACACAGCAGTAGATAATATAAGTAAGTATTCTACACTAATAGAGCCATTGGAAAAGCATAACTTAAAGAGATATTTTAAAATACCAATTTCCCAAATACATTAAGTAATAACAGTTCTGATCCAGCTGCGTCGGCATGAGTGGGTGTTAACTCCCAGTCACTGAAAGCACAGGCTACTAAATGAACGTGTTAGTTATGTAGTATTTTAAGGCATGAATAACATTCCAAGTCAATGACCTTCAAAGACCACATGCCAAGACTATCATGTACTTTAAGTGTCTCTAATTTTACCTGAAGTGCATATTTTTCACAAGTTGGCCCCACAGGGATGATCATCACTTGACGAGGAGATAGCCAGAATGGCCTAAAAAAATGTAAAAAATATGTATTTTCAAAATGACCATTTATGACATGATTTAAAAAATACCCAAAGATTGTTTTAAAGTAAGAATTTACAAACAAGCAGAGTTGGTAAAGTGGTATGGAAATAAAAGAAACTATAGTAAGAGTTAAAAGGCATGATATGTGGGATATAACACTGAAAGGAACAAGACAAACAAAGAAAGAAACAAAAACTCATAAACACAGACAACAGTTTAGAGGTTACCAGAGGGTAAGCGGGGAGGAAGGTGGTAGATGAGGGTAAATAGGATCAAATATATGGTGATGGAAGGAGAACCAACTCTGAGTGGTGAACACACAATGTGATATATAGATGACGTATTACAGGATTATACACTTGAAACCTATGTAATTTTACTAACTATTGTCACCCCAATAAACTTTAATTAAAAAAAAAAGTTAAATGCAGTAGAGAAAACAAAAGGGGAAACAGGATTTTGATAGGAAAGGGCGGGCAGAACAGGTTGGCAGATAGATGGAAGGGCTAAACATCCCCTAATCATACAGTGAAACCCAAATGTCCGCTCAGTGCTCTAATCTTTTGCTAAAAAATTCCATCCTTAGAATGACTGTGCTTAGAATGACAGGGACTAAGGCTCGGCAAGTGTCTCTATGGTGCTGCTGGCGGGCACGGCAGGCCAGAAGAGGGGGTGCCTTTTCTAGTGAGAAGTCATTGGCCCTGGATGATGAAAGGGATCCAATGTCATCCACCTGCCACAAGAGAGCTGGCTGCCCCCTTGGGTTATGGTGGCATATGAGGGCCCAGGGCCGATCACTACTCATGGCAGATTGAGTCTTCAGGACAGGCCTAGCAGACGAACTTGGTGAGGTTCATGGTGCTGAGCTCATGCATGTCCTCCAGTGGCCACTTTGCTCATCAATCACTGACGATCACTTAGCGGGAGAAGGAAGCTGGTAACAGAACAGGTCTTCTTGTATTTCAATACTGAAAACCTCCACAGCGGGGGCCTTTGTGAACCAGCATGCACATTCCTCTCCCCCAAGTCTACTTGTCATCTATTCCCAATCTAACTACTTCAAGTCTCCTACCCAGTGGCCAAAGCAATAACCAGAGCCTGTGCGTCAGTGTCACTCCACACCTTGGGCCATTTCTCCTTTCAAGCAAAGAGGACTACAAAAAGGATCACTCACAGCCCTACCCTGCAGAGCATTTACTTCCCCCTTCTGCCCTAAATTGGGCTGTGCTACGGTACCCATCCTCTCTGCATTTGGGTCAGTGTGTTGCTCAGGATGTTGAAGACCAGGTTTATGGTTGTTAACCCTAGTTTTCCTCCCAAGTCAAGGTCAGAGGGTACCTTATGGGATAAACAACATGGGTGGAAGGAGGAATGGCATTGTGGCAAGAGGTGGCACCCTGGGAGTGTGAGCCATGTTTTCCAGACGGCAACTAGATCTGCAAAGGGCTTGAAATAGCTGAGAAGATAACTCTACAGCTCTCCTGAGTTCCCAGAAAGGTAAATGATACAGGGTCACGGACTCCACCTCTGTTTGTTTTTTGTTTTCTGATCTGGTAGGTGCAACAAGAATTTTTGTTGCTGTTTGGATACTTGCAGAAGCCACCAGTTTTTTTCACAATAGTTTTATCTTTAAGACATGGTTTTTAAGAATAACAGATACACAGCTTTTCTTTTCCATATCACTTACCATTTCCCCCCATAGTTTTCTGAGAGAATGGCTATCATTCTTTCCACTGACCCCAAAATGGCTCGATGAATGATCACAGGATTCTTCTTATCGTCCCCATCCTTACTAAAAAATGAAAATTACACATTTAAGTGTTTCCTTAAGATTCAGTAATAATTTTATCTTCCTATTTTACATTATGTTCCCAAACTATGTAAAACAATGGATTCCTCATAATCTTTAAGCATAATCTTTAATCCTTTATTTGAATTAGTTTTTTTCTAATTATAATATCTTTTATAAACCAAAGGGAAATTTAATACATTATCTGGGAAAAAGCAAGGTAAGTCTCACCAGGACCCAGGTCTTGATTTCTAC